CATCAACGTTATCTCTCTTGGGCGGCATCGCGGATCGTCGCTGGTCTCTGGATACCAACTGATGTAGAGCGTAGTACAATTGGGGATAATATGAGATACTCTCTCAAGAACGAACCATCAGAAATTTCAATTCAACAATAATCTGTCTTATTTGATCGCAGTTCACATATAAATAAAGGGAAAGAGTCCTAATCTAGTATCTTGCCTAACATTTTGCAAGATATTTATTTTATCTACTTAAAATAAAAGGAAATAACATAATAAGCAAATAAATAATAAACGACTTAAACTCGAAGCCTGTCCTATTTATTCAAGAAGGCGATCGCGGTCTTGTCTCCATCAGTATTCGAGTAATACGTCTTAAAAAAATTAATTTTTCTTAAAAAAATACATTTAAATAAAACGTATTTAAGGAATACGTTCTATAATTAAATGCACAAAAAACGTATTCCTTAAATACGTTTTAAAGTTAAGTACATTAAAAAAAATCTTCTTCTCCATTCATTTTACGCGAGCAGCAAAGAGCAACAGAGAGAGAGAGAGAGCAACAGAACAGAAAGAGCAAAAATACTTGAGAAAAAAAAAAACTCGATCCAATCTTCACCCCAACGTGAACCGACAACAGCGACACGAGCCTTATTTCTGGTTAATTCATTCGCACGAGGTATATTGGCTTATCTTAACTTTTTATATTTGTTTGGAGTTATTTGGAGATTGAGAATTGTTATAATATGTTTGAATGTGTTGGTGTTTGAAGATTGAAATTGCTAATTGATTAACGATTATGTGTGTATGTTGAATTGGAGATTGAAATATTATGTGTAAATTGTCAATTGTGTAATTGTTTGGTTATTGTTGGGGTTAGGGTTTTTCAAAATTAGGGTTTCAATTTATCAGAATTATAGATGATTTCTATGTTATTGTTCGATAAAGTATTAGGGTTTTGAATGATTAATTGATTGGAAATATTTTTTTTTTGTTTGTTTTTTTTTGTTGAAGGTGTATTATATGTTATTGATGGATTATGAGTATTAGGGTTTGTTAAGAGAATTCGTGATTTTATTTTTAACAGGTATAAATGGAGTCTACCGGACCATATTTTGTTAACGTGTATTAGAATCATCCCAAAGAGGTTTTAGATTCATTTTCAGATTTTATAAACCGTCCGGATGGTTCATTTAGCATTGGGGAGAAGATATCATTTCAACAACTTAAAGATATACTTTATGAAAATTTTGGGTTCCGTCGAGATGGTTGGATAATTGAGGGGATTAGTTTACTGACTAACCGACCCGATGGTTCGTGGAACATTGGAAACTTGAATACTAATAGTGTTTTACAGTGGATATATTATTTTCCTGCTTTCTCCTATGTGTATTTGCATTTAGAGTTGAAGCAAGTTACGCAGGCACCTACAGTGATTACACAGTTTGAGGATGTTCCCCATTTTTACGGGGGAGTGCTTGATTTTGAGGGTACGTCCACTTCGCATGTTCGTAATTTTGGCGAAGGGACAAGCTCAACAATTAGAGAAGAACCCGATGATGATTTCATTCCTGATGAAGATGATTTCACAGATGTTACATCGGAAACGGAATCGGATAGATCAATAAACGAGGAGAGTGAACCAGAGTTTATTGAAGAGCACCCATTTCCTAGTACCGGTCAGCACGTGTATCACGAGATGGGTGAGTGGGACCCCTCGTGTGTAAACTGGGATGAGTATGCTCTCCCTCGTTCGAATGGAAATGTCGAGACTATCCGTTTGGGTACTGTTTTCTGGTCCAAGGAAGAAGCACAGATTGGTATAATGAATTGGAACGTTAGTAGATTGAGGGAGGTTAGGAAAAAAATATTCGAATAAGAAATCATTCAAGGTGGTGTGCAAATCCGCCAAAGCTCAACCTTGTCCGTGGAAGGCTTGGGTGACGCATTGCACACGGGTTCATGAACTGTGGGAAGTAACGGAATGGACCGAGAGGCATAGTTGTATGCAAGAAGTCGATAAAAATGACTACAGAAATGTAATCGCCACAATGATTTCCAATCTTATCATGACCAAGATCCAAAAGAAACCCGAGTACAATGTTACCCTGATCAGGAGGATGTCAAAAAATGTTGGAAAGTCGATGTGAGCTATAAGAAGGCATGGCACGGGAGGAAAAAAGTCATCGACCGTTTGTATGGCACTTGGGAAGAGAAATTCGCACAATTCCCTCAGTAAGAAAAAATTTATAAAAGTGTACGTGTTATTTATCTCACTATGTTTATGTATTAACGATTACGT